GGGGGGGGGGGGAAGGTATTAACCATTGCAGTGCAGATACCCCCATACTTCAAGGACTAAGTGTTCCTTTGTATCTTGGTGCTAAAAAAAAAAATTATACTTGCCAAACCATCCGAGCAGAATGGTTCTCAGACCGCTGTCTCGAGTGTCTCTCCCTATCTGCCACAGCGGTCTAAGGATCTTGGGTGTCATCACGCTCTATACACTGGGGGGAATTTATCAAGGGAGTTGCTCCGCTTTTCTGTAAGTGACAAATTTTCCACGTTTATTTGCACCTTATTTAACTGCAGTCTAAGCCTTGATAATAAATGTAATTTTCATTAGACATGTTGGGGGGAATTTATCATGACTATTGTGAGTGTTTGAACTTGCACGGAATATATTTGCACCAGATTTATCAAGCTAGTGCAATGTTGTTGATAAATGAGGTTTAATAGACTCCAGGAAAGAAGACTTCTAACTTCAGGCAAAAAGCTTAACTGTCACATCTGGAAGAAGTGGTCTTGGGGACTTCTTAAGTTGTGAGTGTTTTCTTAAGTAATGCTCCAGTTTCAGACAGCCCAGAACAAGTGCAGATGAAAACACGTGCAAAAAACATGCAGTTGAAAAAGTAGTGCAAGCTCTGAAGGAAACCGGGGCACATGTTAAAAGACAGATTTGCACATAAAAAAAATGATCTAAGAGGCTAAAACTGTCGCAAGTACTTTGATAAATTCCCCCCACTATGTATAGACTGTATAGACGTGAGGATGCCGAGGAGTAGTCCATCTGTGCATTGGAGGAGGAGACATGCTTCAGTGATCACAGAAGCAGGGATTGCATTTTGTCATTCCAGATTGGCCTTCAAAGGACACCCTGACTACTAATTTCACAATTTTTAGTTGGCTTAGACAGTCCACCATTAAAGCCTATGGTCGTAAGCATCGGGTTCCCCCTTTCCTGCCAAGGCTCATGCTGCTAGATTTGTGAGTCCCTATTGGTCTCTTCCGGCAACCGTTTGCCTTATTTGTAAGGCTGCCACCTGGTCTTCAGTTCACACATTCTCTATGTTCTACCAGGTGGACATTTCTGCCTCGTCTGATGCCTGCTTCAAGCGTAAGGTCCTTTTGGGCAGGTCTTTGGGCTGCAGGCAGTCCCCAGTTTCCTGTTGATTACGTTGGCCTGTTGCCAATCGCTTGCTGTGTTTCCCAACCGTTGGTTGGATTGCTTTTGGAAGTCCTTAAGGTTAAAGATTTCCTGTCTCCCCCCCCTCCCCCCCCCCCCCCCACCCAGTAGAAGAGCAGGAAAATTAGGCTTTTTGTACTTACCGTAAAATTATTTTCCTGGAGTCCATTGAGGCCCCCCCCGTGTTCATAATCAGGTTAGAAGTACTGCTTTGCTACAAAACTGAGGCATAGTGGTAGTAGGAAGGGTTATCCCTGGGCTGGGCGACAGTTTTTGTTTTTTTTTGTTTGTTGTCCAGTCCTGTAGGCGACAGTATAACCTAATAATTTAGACTCCCCATGTCCCTCAATGGACTCCAAGAATAGGTTTTTACGGAGAGTACAAAAATCCTATTGTTAAGTACACATATTTTTTTTCTCTCTGCACATTTCCTTTAACTGCTAGGCTATTAAAGTTACTTTTATGCATAAATCTGGCAGTGTGATTACCTTAACCCAGGGATGGACAAATTAATATGGAATCCAGTAGTCAGTAGAAAACCTCAAATGGTATGCACCAGCTGTAATGTTTAGGGTGCATCTGCTACCTGGCTCCTGGGATTTGTTCAGCCCTTGTTTCACCAGTGCCATAGGAACTTCAGTTCCTATATTTTCCTGGTGTAAGTTCTAATGTTTATTTTCTGCTGTAACCTTTTAATTAACCCACAGGGGATGCGGGATGATATAAGCCAGCTGAGCTCTACTCACGCAGAAGGCCAATCGCCTAACATGTCTGCCAGTACAGCTTCTAAGATGCAGTCTGAAAAAGTAATTCCCAATAAGAGCCTCCTGGAATGGCTACGCCAGCAGTCAGACTGTACAATAGACATGCCGACCTACGGAGGTGTAAGTGAATGCTTTCTGTTCCATCACTTCTTAAGTACGATGAAATTTGAGCAGCACTTTATTCATACTGGGGCTAAATTTTCCTGCATGCGTCACCAATGACTAATTGTTCGTATATAGTGATCCCAAGCTACAAGTAAAAGCTTGTGCCAAACCCTCCCATGCCAAGGGAAGTTGTAGCACAATTTAGAAGTGGGATTTCATATGAGCAGGAAAGAGGTAAACTTTCCCCACATAATTGAGAGGAGAGGTTAGTGATTTGCAGCGTTGATTACCTGAACAGGAGAATTTTGGTCTGTGTGATGCCTGAGCCCTTTTCTAAGAGAGAGACTGGTGCTGCGGGAAGTGCTAGCACAACTGCACAAGCAACTGTGGGGGAGCTTTTCTTTTTTTTTTCTGTGTGTCCCATTAGGGAGATTTCCCTTCACTTCCTGTTGCAGAGATGCAACACAAGTGAGAAAAAAAATCTCTACAAAATATGCGGACAGCACAACAGGTGGCCTCATTGGAAGATTACCCCTTACCTGTTCTTCTGGAGACAACTCTAAAAATTTGGATTTTTAATCACATTCTGTCTCTGTGACAGAAAACAGGTGATTCCACCCACCATGGACACAGACCGCAATAAAAAAGTTGACTTGGGGCCAATCCCTTCCATTATTACTACAAAAAACCCAACATTTTTACTATAAATAAACTCTAAAAAAAAAATAATGTATCCCAAAATAAGTGATTTTAGGCAAGGGTTAAGACCAGTGATGGCGAAAACCCATGGCACGCGTGCCACAGCTGCCACGGGGGACCCTTTCTGCTGACACGCGAGCCATAAGCTTGCCTTATTGCTGTTATTGGTTATCAGTCAAAGTGACCGATATTACCAATAATAAACAGACTGCAAATTTCAGCCAGTTCCTGAGGAACCAGCGCGAAATTTGCACAGCGGGTGCTGATGTCTGGTAGAAGCTGGCAGGCATTGAGCCGCCCGCCATGGTTACATATTTTGACAGCAGCCGGTGGCGGCTGTCAGAATACAAAGAAAAAAAACAGCAGATAGAGGAGCTAATGCTTCTGCTATCTCCTTATTACCATGCTATCATCTTTTTTTTTTTTTTTTTTTGTGACTGCTGTCTGAATAAAAAAGACACTAGGGGCAATCAATAGCTAGCCTGCTCTTGGCTATTTGGAATTGCAATAGCCAATAGCAGGCTGGCTATTGCACCCGCTCACTGCTGCTGTCAATCAGAATTTTAAATAGCCAATAGCAGGCTGGCTAATGATTCCTCTGCTATCTGCTGTTTTTTTTTTTCTTCTCCAGTATTCTGCCAGCGGCCAGACGAATGCCTGTTGTTTTACATTCAGCTGCTGGTGCAGCTGGATGTAAACGGAATATTGGTACCTGATATCGGTTATCGGCCTGAAAGGTGGCCCATAATCGTTATCAGTAGCAAAAAATCCATATCAGTCGACCCCCTAGTACAGTACAGGTTGGCACTTTGAATGCATAAGTTGGTTTAGTGATCCAGTTTGGGCACTCAGGCTCAAAATGGTTTGCCATCACTGGTTTAGACTTACTACAGCCCACAGCTCTGCTGTGGAAATGAATGAGCTGAGGACTGTGAATAGCTGGATGCTTTCCCCAGTAAACAGACTTTAACATTAATTTTTTTGCATCGTTTTCCAGAGTTACTCAGACAAACCTAAGCCAAGGCGTCCGCGGTACAAGGAACCGGTGAAACTAGATTTCAGCATGCTAGCTGGTGAAGACAGGACGTCAGCTGTAAATAAAGATGCAGGACGACGGGTAGGGTTGCGATTAAATCTGCTTATATCAATATACAGTACATTGTTATTTTTAAAGCAAACCTTTCATAAGAGAAGTAAATGGGCTGCCATTGATGAACTTCTTAAAAATGAGGACCATCTTTAAAAAAAATGAAATCCCGTTGGGGAACTTCTAATACTTAGGAAGTTAGAAACTCAACTCATCTATCTGCATTGCTTGTTGCTGCAGTAGTAAGAATTACTCTAAAGTCTCTTCAGAAACCAACATTTTCTGGAGTGTTGAATGTCTGATCCCCAGCTGCGCTCAGTGGTCCCCCCCACCAACCACTACATTAGTACAAGACACAGTAATGACATAGAGGTCAGCGGGAGGAACCACTTAGCATGGAGAGGAATCCCTGACTCCCTGTAAACTGAAGCCCAGCTCGAGCTGAAAAATGAGTTTCTTCTTTTCCCCCAGTTTCTGTGACGCTCATACAAGAAATGATGTGGGGGAAGGGAGAAGGTTGTCTGTGAAAGGATAGAGACAGTGGTGGTAATACAATTCTGATAGAGGCTCTAACCCTTCACCATTCTATCTATTTTTGTCTAGGTTTTAATGTTTTACGAGATTATGTACATAAAGCATTTACCACAATAAGATAAGCTTATTCTTTCCTGTTTTTGACTTTAGGGGTTCCTCCCGGAAGCAAAGTTTGGTAGAGTGTTGTCTGAACCCTTACTTCATGATTCCGGTCCCCGGAGAAGAGGAAGGAGGCCCCGTAGCGATCTGCTAAAACCTCCAGGAGTGGATTCCTCTTCAGGCATTAATCCCCTTTTCATGAACGGCCTAATTGCTGGAATGGATATAGTGGGATTGCAGAACATGAGGAATATGCAGGGTATTCCTTTAGCAGGACTTGTAGGCTTTCCTACAGGATTTACAGCCGTGTCTGCCAATGAGGATGTAAAGAACACATTGAGCATGTTGCCCATGATGCTCCCAGGCATGGCTACCATGTCTCAGATGTTTGGCGTTGGCGGGATTATCAACTCTCCCATCTCTTCTTCTGTGCCAACGTCTTTAGGAAGCACAATGAAAGGTGGCATCAACCCTTCGGAGAAACCCACTGAGGACAAGGATGCCTCCCAGGAGAGTCCGAAAGATGCCGCGCCTTCGGAGAAAACAGCAGGTGCCTCTTTTAAAGAGCAGACAGAACCCGCAGTGACTACCAGTAGCCCTGTAGCTTTTAACCCATTCCTCATCCCTGGCATGTCCCCAAGTCTGCTTTACCCTTCCATGTTTCTGTCGCCAGGCATCAGCATGTCAATACCAGGGGTTCAGTCTAACCGCACATCGGAGGCAGGCGTCCAAGACCTACAGCGGAGGAGAAAGAAGAAAGTTAAGAGTGACTCCCAGACTTCTGAACCTGAGTCTGTGTCCTTAACTGAAGCCACAGACCAGGAGCAGCCCTCTCCCAGTGGTCAGAACTGTGTAGATATAAGCGAGGCCCCAGCGTCTGAGAAAGACGAGGACGATTCTGGTTTAAGAGAGACTCCGGACAATACCGTTTAGAAATTTCATCTCCTTGAAACCCCTTTCCCCCAGAAATTGTGACTTGTGAGTTCATTATCTCATGACTATTTCTAGCTTTCTGGCGTGCCCATCAGTCAATTCTACCTAAACTCCACGTTTTCTCTCCTCTGGTATGCCTGTAAAAGCTCTCTACTTTAAAGTAGACCAAACCACAGCACGCGGGGGTCGGTGGAAAGCCGAATAATTTTTGTTGTTGTTTATTTTTTCCCCCCCCCCATTCCACATTTCTTTTCTTTTTCTTTTTTAACAATTCACATCTTTTCCATTTAAGAACACCAGACTTTTGGCTTCAAGGCACAGTGTAGCACAAGGCCTTACAGCAGCAAGCCCTTCATCCAAAGACAGGCATTTTGCTAAAGCAATAGGATTGGTGCTGTCTGCAGTCAGCTTAAAGCAGGAGAAATGTATTGTATTTGTTTACTAGACTTGTGAAGTGGGTTCTGTGGTCAACACTTTTTCATCAACAACTCCTGACCTAAAAGCTACAAAAAGTTAGGCAAAAAAAAGAAAGGTTTCATTTTTTTATTATGTTTAACAATGTTGTTTTAAAAGGATCAGTAGTGTTCTTCCTTCAGCTCAAGAAGTGAAGCAATACCCACGATTGGGTTAAGGACCTTTCACCAAAAAAAAAAAATCTAGTAGCTTAGAGGCAATTTACATTTCTTTGGTTTTCTATGTACATTTCATTTCCAAGGTTTGGAGAGTGAAGGCACCCCTTTCAGTATGCTAGGATGGCTCTGACTGCGGAGGGTTGGCCATGTCCCAACATTTTCAAACAAGATGGTGTAGACACTTACCATAGAGGGTGCCTTGAGACAATTAAACAGCCCAGAGACATGCCCATTGGCTGGCTGTCAGACAAGAATGTACTCCTAGCTTGCCAGATTGTTGATGTAAATTCATTCACATAATGCAACTAGAATTGCAATTGTGCTTGGTTTTTAAACCTGACATAATTGTACCCCCCAAAGAGTGATTGGCTTGGGCTGCCTGCCATAGACATGAGATTGCTATCCAGTTTGTTAAAAGAACAAAATGGGCAGATCTGGAAAATATTTTTTTTTTTTTTTGAGCAGCTGTGGAGCTTGTGTAGATGGGCAAATGCAGCAAGCATTGAGGTGCACTTAGATTGTAAAGACTTCAGAAGCTTCAAATACAAGGTTTTTAAAATCGTCCTTACCTATTTCTAACCTGCAGTTGACCACCTCCTAAGCTGCTTTTTTTGCATTCCCATTGACTTATATGGGCTAAAAAAAAGCTAATAATTTCCTGTACCCAAGTCCTAAGACAAGTGTGTGAGTTCTGCAATAGAGGGCAGTGTGTTTTATGCATCCGAAACAAATGTTCAGTTCTGCATTGGGTAAAGC